CGGTGTTTGATGGGGCCCGAAGTGAAGGCGAAAGGTCTCTCGAGACCAACAATCACGGGCCCGATGGGATGGCTGACGGCCCGAAGGGCTGGCTGTAGGTCAAATTTAGAACCCCTGTCCATTGGGCTGTGATCTCAAATGTCAGTACGATGATCTTTGGCACCGATGGGAGCCCCTGAGACAAAGCCTTCCGCCTATTTCTTCCAGAGATCACAAACAACAAGCAATTGGCTCCGTGTTGGTCTGAGATCCGGGGGCCCATTTCCCAAGCAGGGACAAGGCTGGGCCCGCGATTTACATTGGCCGGATCCTGTCTCATTTAGGGGCCCACAGCGCCTAACAAGGCATTCTGTGTCAACAAGGGGCATCTAATCGGTCAGGGGAGGATTTGCTGAACAGGGACGGGGACGGGAGCCCGAATGGCAGAGGGTCTCTTACATTGGTCGGGGCCCTCTGACAATGGGAGGAAACATCAGAACTTGTGATAAGTGCTCAAATTCAAGGTAATAGAAGAGTCCTGTGCCAGTCAGGGCCTCCAGTATCCGAACGGTGGGACCTCCAACCCTATACCAGCATCGGTCCCTTTAAGCCCAACTGGGGCCTTATGTGCCAATTATTTGACCACCTGCGGCGGGCCGGGATGCTGGTGCGTTAATGACGGTTCATGCGTCGATCCGGGGCCAACTGCGCGGGTCAGAAGACCTTCCACGTCAGGAAGCGGACCAACGTGATACGATGTATCCTTCTAAGGGACCTCCGGATCGGCCAGAGGATGCCGCCCCGTGCCGCCAAAATGACAGCCGGAAGGCACCCTGCGCTAGGACGAAATGGCCCCTCAGCCCGGACCAAAAAGGATACTGTGTTTCCTAGTCTCCTACTCACGGGGCCCCTTGCCCGGAAAAATAGGGTTAGGCACGTTCGCCTAAGACAGTTCACCGTTCTGCAGAATTAACTGGTGAAACAAATAACATAGAACATTTTTGAGCCTGCACGCTCGCAAGTCTCAGGGAGCAAGAACAGCCATGGCCGGGGCTACAGTCTCCATAAAACTGAACGGCAGTTGGCCACCGCAGGTAGCAACAGATGACGGCGCGGAGCGCGCAAGAACGACCATCGTCATATAATGCTTCCGAGAGTCTTTCAAAATAAAGTTGAACCATTCCAAAGATGGAATGGGGCATATCTTTTCACAATTGTGAGGCTTGTTCTGCTTAGATTAACAGCTATAGCAACGCGAAAAATAGAGATTCTTCTTCTAATCTTCCCAGTTAAACCATCAAATTCCAGTAAAACTCGCGCTGTTGTAAAGGATAATCTGTCCTTTTTATCAATCTAGAAACCGTGCAGGTGCAATAAACGTTCGAACTGCCTTACGTACGTACGTACGTAATCGTGCGAAGTTATGCACTAAAGCATTCAAAGGTACCTCTTCAGATACATCATTTTTTCGTCCACCCGTTGGTCAACGCTTAGCGGCAGCTACGGGGCCGGTGCCGTGAGTACTGAGGAGACTGCAACGTCGGACGTCGAGGTTTTTGTTGGTAAGCTTTGCGAGCGCGCGTGTTCATCGCTATGCTGCATATTTCTTGTCAGTAATCAATGCTAACTAAGTGCTGAACATTTAAAAACGAGCATAGTTTAGTCACTGTCAATGCAAATGGTGTACCCAATTCGATCCACTATCTACGTTCACGGGGTGTTCAATATCTCTGAAGAAGCACGGACAAAAATTCGGGCGAGGCTTCTGAGCTCCATCGATTGGAGAGAGTCCATTGGCAACAGCAAAATGAAGCGTGGCGGCGACTATTCCATGCAGTCATTCAACGGCCCGATTTCTTCAGTTCATTAGTTTTCAAATGTAGACAGAACTTTATCTCGCGGTATATTCTGGTCTCTGCTTCGATTAGAAAGGTAAAGGCAACAATAAAACGAAGATGAACGCGCCCTCGTTAACAATTGAGAAACATTCGGCAGCTTTTTTGGGGGGTCGCCATTGGGGAACTTTGTCAACCCTGTGCTCCTTCTGGCAAAGATCGCTAGCAAGTGAGCTATATCTGACGATTTTTTTAGGGGGTAGGGCTTTCAACATTAGGAAGGCAATTATTGACAATGTGCCTCCCCTTCCTTGGAAAGGCTTTGGCTACTCCCCTGCCCACATCCAAAAGCAAATCAAATTGGATACGTTGAGGGGGGGAGGGGTAAGTCAATTCTTGGTAGACCAGGTCATGCCTAAGACAGGCGGCCTTCCCGAAAGCTTATCTTTGCTGTGGTGCGGTATAAGGTGAGATAATTCGGAAATAGACACCGTAGGAGGTGCCCAATATATGCTTTGCACCAATAAGTGGTAATGCGGATCCATAAACACGCAAAAGAACAGTCACACGATCAGTTCGCAGTCAGTTATGCGGGATGGGGAGGGGGGCAACTGACCGAGGGCAGTGGTAGCCGACGGCAAACGAGAGCAGGGCTCAGTTAAGGAATATCCAAAGAAGGGTCTCCATCCCGTTACTTGGTTTTACACTTTTTTACCACTTTTTACTGGTTTTATGGTTTTTCACGTGGCTTTTGGCAGGCAGCATCGAAAGCTTCTAATCTGTTTCCGCCTAAAATGCTGCGACGAATCTTATCTCCTAAAAAACAGCCGGTGAAAGCTAGCGCATGAAAACTGGCGCACTATGAGCCAATGATTCGAATTCAAAATTCTGACCAGCCTGTATCCAGGTTGCATTGGGACACCCACCCAGTGAAGGCAGATAACCCGGACCCCCCCCCCCCCTCCTCCAAAAACCCAGAATGCCTACCCTCTAGGGAGATTTCGCCTCCCCAGGGAAAACGATGTTGAAATTGGACGAATATTTTAATAAGCTGGATAGTCTTATTTGCTGAATGGTATAGATGAGTCGAACAGGCAACATTGCGCTACAATGGAAAAAGCTGTAAATGTACATGTAGCAATCATGACGCTTACTACTTCTTCGAACTGCTGTGTAAATTAATAGCGAAAGATGTCCCACATCTCTACCCTGCCGCCCGGTGAACAGGCTTGCCTTTTCCAGAAAAAAGATCCTTGGTGTACTCTGATCCCTCCCCCTCTTGTGAAATGTTCTGGGCCTATGGGTACATAAATAACCCTGTCCCTTTTTAAAACGTTCTGCGCTATTGAGTGCATCAATACCGCTGCCCCTTTTTGAGACGTTCCGCGGCAAGAGTACACGCACGTGTATTGCTACATCATGAGCAAGTTTTGTGGGAGGTATCGAGCTGAAGCCTTTTTGCCAGACTAAAACAGGTTTAAAGTGCCATATTCTTCAGCTCTGTCCATTTCAAAAGTGCTTGGGCAAATTTCCATTGCTCGGCCCGCTCGCTTTGTTAAGTGTGTGGGGCATGCCCACCAGTCAATCCGTTCTTTGACCGTCAATACACGACACTTTCATTACTCGTAGTTTTGATGTCATTCAAATTAAAATGAATCACATTAACTTACATATAAACCAACGAGCCATAAAAACGATGCTGAACAGGCGCCAGAATGTTCCTGTGTGAAAGCGAACCCTCTCCGAACACCGCGGATAATTTACTGCCGCTGGAAATGAGCCGCCCCAACCAACTCCAGCCAATGTCCACTCATTTTCGCCGCGCTTTAAGTGCATGCAAATTTGCCCGTTATCGCAAAGCGGCCTTATTAAGCACGACCGACGCCCCGGGGGTTCAGTTCATCTCCCGGAGCGAAATGGCGCGCCGTCCGGACTGACGGCGGTCGGCAGGCGACGACGGCGGCGGCAGCGGTCGTCGCCGCCGCCCATTCGGCCGGTCGCGGTCCCGACGGACCTCCTTTGCGGTCCGCCGGCCGTCCCGCGACGCAGGCGGTCGGGAATGACCGCGAGTGTTCCGCGAACGCGCTCTTCCGGCCGGCCGGAACGAGCCACTGAGGGCGCTGCCACCGCCCGGCGACGGCGGCGGCGCGCGGCCAGGTGCCCCTCGCCCCCACGATGACGTTCGGAATGCATGACCCCGCGGCGCCGATGAGCTCCGGCGAAGGAGATAGGCCCCGCCACTGGCCGCGGGCGCGGTGAGGCCACCGGAGGTGGTCCGATGCGGGAGCGCGGCCGCTCGCAGGCGCCATTCGGCATCGGGTGGCGGGCGTGATTGCGCTGTAGGAGTCAGGGACCGTTCGCCTGTCCTGCGCAACCGTCCCGCTCTGACTGATGCTGCCCGCAGGGAGGAACAGGGTCGCGCGCGGCCATGGCTGTGGTGCCGTGTCTGCTCACCCTCCCCCCTGGCCGCTTTAATTGCACCGCTGGGCTTGCAGTGCTGTACCTGGATGACCCCGCTGACTTATGGTGTGTACAAATTGCTCTACCAAAGATCACAAGCTGCCGAGGAATAAATCATCGTCCAATTTAAGCACACAGCTGATATGCTTAACGCGAATCTACTTAAGCTTGTGAGTACTATCCCGCCTCAGGGGTGGACTTGTCTTAGGACTCCCATTCTCATGTCTTAGGACTCCCATTCTCATGTCTTAGGACTCCCATTCTCCTCGGTCTGAACAAGACCGTCGATTGACTATGATCGCGCCAGTTCAGCGGCGCAACTAGGCTCTATAACACCTGACACTGCTCTCGTCAGCTAGGCTGGTGACGTGCGCGGTCCTCACACGAGCTGGACACGTCACCACGTCACACGTCACACGTCACATGTCACATGTCACCTCATTACACACACACACGTCACACGTCACCACGTCACACGTCACATGTCACCACGTCACATATCACCTCATTACACACACACGTCACACGTCATGCGTCACATGCCACCACACGTTAATCGTCGTGTGACGTGTGATGTCACACACACACACACACACACACACACACACACACACACACACACACACACACACACGTTATCACATCACCACGTCACTCGACACACACCACATGTCACACGTCACAAGTCACACGCAGAGGCGACCACCCACCGCCAAGAGATCTGACCTGATGTTGTCCTCGTCGACGAACATGATGACACCGCGCGCGCTAGGACGGGTGGCCAGGTGGGCGATGGTGCTGTCGAAGTCGACCTCGCGCGAGTTCCTGGCGATCTTCTCCGTCACGGCCACGCAGATGCCCTCCTCGGCCGCAAGTCGAGTGAACGAAGATATGCCCTGTCCGAGGGAGGCTCCGTTAGAACCGCCGCGCTGGTGAAAGACGAGGGAGGGTTTCTGTGAGGACAGATCGGTTTCTTAGAAGTTTGTCTCAAAAGGCCATGGCGGTAAACCAATAGGGAACTTGCGAGGCCCACCATGAGTTTGTTGAAATCGTGGCGGCAAAGATTTGGCGCCCATGGACACCAACAAAATCAATCCCATGCGCCGAAGCTCAATAGTCTACCGGACAAATGTTTTGGCGGCTCATGGATAAGACAAAACTTCATTTTGCCGAAGAAGGATGCTTTTAGTGGTTGCGATGAGCAAGGAATGCGACGTAATATGTGGGCAAAAGTCATAACTTAAAGAGAGAATCAGGCGCAAACATCACCCAGCCCAGTCCTGTAGACACTGAGCCCGGCCCAGTCTTGTAGACACTGAGCTCGGCCCTGTCCTTTAAACACTGAGCCCAGCCCACTCCTGGAGACACTGAGCCCGGCCCAGTCTTGTAAACACTGAGCTCGGCCCTGTCCTGTAGACACTGAGCCCGCTCCAGTCTTGTAGACACTGAGCCCGCTCCAGTCTTGTAGACACTGAACCCGGCCCAATCCTGATGACACTGAGCCCGGCCCAATCCTGATGTCACTGAACTCAGCCCAGCCCTGTAGACACTGAGCCCGGCCCAGTCCTGTAAACACTGAGCCCGGACCAGTCCCCTAGACACTGAGCCCGGCGCAGCCCAAGCCAGTTCACTGCGCTTAGCTGTTAGCCGGTCACTAGGGGCAGATCCAGGTTTTCGTCAAGGAAGGGCGACGCTTCACTGTGGTGCATTCTGAAACTTGGTGCCCCATAATTCCCTCACAAAAAGTGGCCGGATTTCCGCCACTTTACTTTCAGATTTGTATCCCCTAACCAGGAACCTATCTCGGCGCATCCTGGTAGGCTAGACGACGTAGACAGATATGTACATGGCGAAGGTCTATTTTTCTCCAGAGACGGACGGATACTACCGTTCTGAGCTAAGAGTTTCGGAGAAAATGCAGCGCAGCGAGTTAAAGTTGACTGCTAAATGCCACCACAGTCATGCTGGACAATGCGACTCGAATATTAAGTTACAACGTCGGTAACAAATCATTGTTAACTTACTCACGACGGGAGCTTGTTCAGGAAGGAAGTTCGATGTGTAAGCCGCTGCCTTTACAGTGAATGGTTGAATGCGAAAGCAGTAACTCGTGCAGGAAGTGCCTTGCCTAAATCGTAAAACCTCTAGTGACATCGCGTGATACGAATGCTGAAATGTTGGCGAAAGTAGCACAAAGTGTCGAAGCCGGTGACATTCGTGGACATTTGCTTTGGCGGTGAAACGTAGAACCAGCTCATTGCAATATGATCATAAATGCTCTTGTCTTGCCTTCGAACGCCACAATGCGTCGGACTATAATATGCTACTTTCCGCGGGGAATCTATCAAGAAAAGGCTGCGGGCCTCGACGTAGCATGCTGGTACTTGGAGTCACTTCCAAATAAGGGTTTTGGTGCCCCCTGAAATGCAGGTTTTTGATGTCCCTTCGCCGTAAACATCGATCCCGTATTTTGCCAGTGTGGGAGGTACACTATTGCCGTACCCCCCTCAGAGTGGAAGTTTTGGACCCTGTGTGGTGCCGTCTGAAACTGGGCAATTCCTGAAAATAAGCGTTATGCTGCCCCGCATTGTAGGCTTTGGTCCCCCTTTGCCATGTGGTCCGACCTAGGATTTTGTCGAGGGACTCGACACGCCATTGTGTGGCACTGAAGTTTCGTGCCTATCTAAAATGAGGATTTGGCTCGCTTCTGGCATCTGTCGAATTTGTTGCTTTTTGAAAAAAGGTCATGTGGTTTCGAAATGACAGGTTTAGTACCTCTTGACCACAATATTTTGGTGCCGCTTCGGGACACCAAAACATTATTTGGGCCCAAGAACGAGGAATGACACCATGCCCCCCCCCCCCCTTCCCCTGGACCCGCTCCCGTCAATCATGTCCTCTGAACGATATTTTATCTAATCTGATCAACACGCCAGTACAAGGTATCAAACATCAGCCAATAATTTACCGAGTTCGAACGTCTTGGTTATCATTTTGTTACATGGCCTGCCATGCCATGAGCTATGCTTAGAAAGAAACAAAGCAGGACAAACACAATTCTTCAGAAAAGTTTCAACTCTTGTCATTAGCAAACTAACTCGCGGAAAACAAAAGAAGCATTCGAACAATTTGTACGCAGTTTCAGCAAAAGCATGCGGGCGAAATGACATCATTATGTTGTCAGAAGAAATGGAGAAATGTCTACAGGTCACCTATTTTCCACATGAGAACGCCACTTTATACCACTCGTTTTAGAACTGTATTATCACCGCAGATTATGCTTCTTAAATGTGATATGTGAGTTGAGTTATTCCTTGTTCTCGATACCTTTACTCGTTGTTTGACTCATTTTGCCTGTCTTCCTGATCTAGACCAAACTCCCCTTGGAATTCTAGTATCAGGCTGTTCCTTTCAGTCATATTTTCTTGACTAATCTCACTACAGTTTCGTATGCTCTCACAGAGACCAGTTCATGTGGTTGAATGTTACCGACCCAACGGAAGGTTTCATCACGCACAGGAATTATGCTATTGACAGAATGGTATAAAAAACGTTCTACAGCAGACGCTCCGAACGAGTACATGCCTAGCTCGGGCACCCAACAGGCACCGACTGGCATTGCCATTGACTACCCTTACCACACGGGAGGGCAATGCGGTGGGCCAGAGGCCAGCCGCAGCAGTGGCCAGAGGCCAGCAGTGGGCCAGCCATTTCATGCACGCGCGGCCCGATATGAGAACGTTCACTGCGTGAATGATAGGGGCATATATTAAAAGGGAGGTTCCACATTTGAATATGTTAAATCAAGCATCAGGCATAATGAAATAAGGTCGCTTATAATTATTGGTATGCTTTTAAGAGGAAAAATCTAGACAACACAATGTCTGTGTTTAGTAAATATGTTCCTCAATATGTCACTGTTTGATGTTGTCATGCTACCTTGCACTATATTGATCGAAAGCCAATTGATGGTCGTTGGCACATTCGAATGGCGTTTTTATGACGTCATGAATGCCAAGCTGACTTTGCAATACCCTCCCAGAAATACTCCCCCCATTTGCATGGGTCTGCAGCTCAAAAGCTAGGCTGGTTCAGGTCTTAAGAGGGGCAGGGCTGTGAACTGCACAGCAAGGTTGTCAAGATGGCTCTTTCAGTTCAAAACTCCATACAAATAAGGAGCACTCCCTTTAAGCTGTAGGTCTCCCTCAATGACCGCCCTCGTTTCTCTTCGTAACACGGGGAGCGTCTCACACAGGAAGCGTCTCACAAAATGCTGCTCCCAAGGAAAGCAGCCTGTGTGTCTTTTTAGTGTACTTAACACATTGAGCCGGTCTTGCTGCTGCGTTATTTCCTTCACTCCTTCACTTTAACTTATCCAGAAATTGTGTGTTACGCTCACAACGCCTCATCCAAGAGACCAGTCTTACAAGGAATTGTCCCATGCATCTATGACAGATGCCATTAGGCGGCCCCGCCCAGAACAGGGGCACTAGATGCTTGAAAACATTAAGTGTGACATAGTGGCAAATCATGCAGACGTACAGATGGATAGCGTTGCATTTGCAAACCACTGCACATGTGTTGGGGTGCCAATGCTGACCCGGTTCCAGGACCTCGCCTAAAATCTTCTCGGAGGGACGCGCTCATATGTGAGCATGGCAAAGCTGTGCAAAAGTTGGATATCTTTTCGGGGGAGAAATTGGAGCCAACCATGTTGAAACTGGTCCGATCTGATTTTATTTTGAGGACGCTGGATGGAAACAATTTTTCAGACGTCGGATCACTCATTGACACGGGACGTTAGGTGACATAGGTTGATAACGCCCCATGGGAGACTTGTCCCAGGTTGAGTGCCGTCAGCATAGAACAGGGGACAACCATAATGAAGTAAAAGGGTAGACCATTGATGAAGAGAAGAGGAGGAAAGGTCGGATGATGGGGCCCTTGGCGACAGCGCGGGCTAGTGGGAGGAGTGGATCGGGGCCTCACGCTGCCATCTGCTCCCGGCTACAAACATAGATGTGAAGCCAGTCTGAGCACACGTCATGCCTTTCAGCTTGTCCAGGAGGACGCCGTGATCGACGCTGTCAGAAGCTTTGCTTAAATTGAGCGTCGTCGGTGGCGCAGTGCGGCCTTCGTCAGTGGTCTTGGAGATTCACTCGGCAGCGTTGGTCCGACCGAGACTTGTCGGTGAGCGTATTGATACTGCGTTGCTAACAAGACATGACAGAATGATGGTGGTGCGTGCAGAATCCGTTATTTAATTCGACCTCAGCCCACGGGTATCACCTTAGTACCACCTACAGCCCAAGCCCGTCCAGACGCGGTACATTTTGCAGCGATGAAGGCTCCCTATTAACACACACTCGGGTGGAGGTCAAATTGACCCCTTGAAGGTTTTTCCAGAATTGTTTCCAAACGGCGTGGCGCATCCGCGCGACAATTTGCATAGCTATAAACAATTGAATAGCAAATCGTTTGGCATCACACATTTAGATGTATCTTGTAAGGTTGCTGACCTATGGCAGGTCAAATCAGGCCATGGTTTCAACGAAGGTAATTTCTAGGGAATCCTTCAATCTGATCCAACAACAGAGTGTTAGACGAAGCCATACATCTCTGAGATACTTTCTTAGGCAACGCAACAGTTGAATGAGTGTATTACATTGACCTAAGGTCAGGTATGAAGGTCATACCAAGGACAAAATCAACCTGTTTTGTTACTTTAGGGCTTGCTGTATTGGATAGTTTCTGGTGCTCATTTCGAGTCTATTGATAGCAAGAACCACATTATACATCATCCATGGACTCCTTAGAGGTCAGAATAGGTCACTGATCTAAAATGGCCCAGGTCAGCATTTGGTTTTAGGAACATACTGCCTAGCGTAATCTTTGTTGCTTAGTCAAATGCAAAACTCAAAGCAATCTTGTATTATTTTGGTCACCTTAACCTTCAAAAGGTCAAACAAGGTCACTGACGTTAAATGAGCGTGTGACCCTTTGCTTAAAAAACGGTTATCTAGGTTCTGGGGGCACTTTGGAGACCAACCTGAAACGTGACCTTGTTTGACCTTTTTGGCCAGAAGCTCATGACCTAGAAATCTGAAACTTTGGCCTAAGTGAGTTCACGCACAGGCCAAGACACCCTGTAAATTTGGTGTTTCTAGCTTTCTTAGTTCACGAGATCGTAGGGGGGTCAAATTGGCCCCCCTCCCACCCGAGCAAAGGGTATCTAGCCGGCCACCCGGGCGCGTGTTAACCAGTTCATGGCTAAACCCACGGTCCATGGATGCAGCCAGGGAGACTACGACAGACTTCGCCAGAGAAGTGAACGGTGAGACGCGCTGCCACGAAGGTTCATATCAACCTTGCCATGCTGGTGATAGGTGACTAGTTTGCCAAGAACACTCTGAGAAAGATCAGGAACCTGGTTAACGGTGAAGGCGTAACGTTTAACAGCGTCCGTTTCTGTTACGGAAACTGGTCAAGGTTCTCAAAAGAACACTAGATTACGTAAGTTTTTAAGTGCATTTGCGAGGAGCATTATGCGCATAGATAAGACAGTAGTGATAGCCTTATTCCTCGGAGAAAAACCGGGAGAGTGGGGATGCAACAGCATGCCTTTATCTAAACGATGAGCATGAAGCTTTTCGGTTCTGTCAAGGCATGTTGCCGGCACATCAATGCATCTATATCTCCATTCTTCTGGTTCTTCCGGGGAATAAGACTTTTACTACTGTCTTATCTCTGAACCCTGGATTGGTGCCGGACGGGATCCACCACCAGCCTCCGGTTACGATCATCATATCGGCGATCAATGGAATATCCCGCCTGAAAATCTCCTCAAAAGACCATCAGATTGATGACCATCGACATCACTTAGCGGATAGCTCGTGCCGGCGGATCACAGCGCACTGAGCTGCGTCGCATTCGGTCAGGTGCATGGTCGACCGGCCACCCGCCGCGGCGGACGCGCCGGCCGGGGAGCTCGGCCCAGCGCCGGCCAGGGAACTCGGCCCAGCGCCGGCCGGGGAGCTCGGCCCAGCGCCGGCCGGGGAGCTCGGCCCAGCGCCGGCCGGGGAGCTCGGCCCAGCGCCGGCCGGGGAGCTCGGCCCAGCGCCGGCAGGGAGCTCGGCCCAGCGCCGGCCGGGGAGCTCGGCCCAGCGCCGGCCGGGGAGCTCGATCCAGCGCCGCCATCCTGATAAGCGAGGAGGCCGCGTGCCGAATAGCTTCCGCCAAGCTGCCACCGTCAGCGAACAGCTCGGCGCTAATAGCGGCTCACCGGTGTTTCTGGCAAGTATTAAGCTGAAGCGCGGCATATTCTAGGTAGCGTGGTGCTTCCGCGTTCTACTTGCCAATCACATTTGCAGTAAATATAACCAGTGATTGGTTGGTGGCAGCGTCCGTGCATGTCGCCTACAAGAAGTAATGATATTTTGATCTTCCCATGCTCAATAAATTGTACCTTGTCAATTGTATGAAGCGAGCCTGCCTGCATGATTAGTAACTCGTCCCGAATTGGTTGATGGGCCCCTTGTGTCTTTACCAAGGCAACACCCAATCGTGTGAGACAAGGACTGTAGCTGATTTTCTTTTAGTGCGGAGCATCTTGCCATCAAACACTCTCTCCACGTTTCTTTCAGCTAGCACCATCGATCCTTTGACTGTTCGTTAACATGAGGGACTCCTGTGTGGAACGCGCTTCGCCGAGAAGAAACGAGTCGAAAAAGAACTAGAAGTGCGATCTATCTGTGACAAAAGCAGACTCATTCAGATATTCGGCGCGTGGTTTCAAGTTGGTATGGCAATGACAATCACGTATACAGGAAGCGCCAGCCTATGTCGAAAGGTGAAACAAATTTAGAAACTGATCGTATGGAACGGACAGAGTGTAGAGCAAAATAACCATAGCCTTTGTTCCGCAACCCGTACTCCAAAGCATTTAATCTGCATCATTTTTACCCACCCTTCGCGTTTTATCGTTTTTTTCATCCTAATCCTTATCATATTCTTCTCACTGTCCTCTCCATCTCAGTACTCCCACAGACCCCACCTTCTCGCCGGTCATCTCCAATATCCACCTACAGCCCCCTTACCTTCTCGCTGTTGTCCAAGCAGTCTCCTAACGTTCTCGCCGTTAGTCTGTCCCTCGCCATCTTCTCGGAGTCCTGAAATTTCTCGTCGCCGCACAGTCTTCCTCACCTTCCCATCTCAGGCTACTTCGCCATCTTCACCTTCTCGCCGCTGCCCCAGTGCTCACCTTCTCGCCGTAGTCGCCCTCCACGGCCACCGTGCTGACGTACTCCCAGCCGAGCGCGCGCACCACGTGCACCATGGCCTGCGCCTGCAGCAGGTCGGGCGGCACGACGCGCGAGAAGTACTCGAAGCGGGTCTTGTCCGACAGCTCGGTGCTGGTCGACGCATAGCTGATCTGCGGGATCTGCAAACGCGGGCACGACTCTGGTCAAGTGGAAGCGCCGCAGGCTGCTCGCCTGTCCGGGGAACACGCGGGTTTTGCCGTGCTGAGATTGAGAGATGGGTTTTCTATTGGGGCAATGCCAATCTCAGCGAGTTCAGTGCGAAAATAAGAAAGTTTGTGAAGAAGGTTTTGCAGGCTGAAATATTATGTTCGTGCGAGGGTGGTTGTTGTGCACAGCTTCTCCAGCTTTGATGACCAGAATGCCCTGGCCGTTTCGCAGGTTTCAAATTGTCTGCACTATCTGTCGAACAAAATCACCAGCTGTAAAGCGGCCAGGAAATTCTGGTTCACCGAAGTCGGAGTAACGGAATAAAAGCCTGATTCACACGAACCATAAAGGGGTTGAGACGATAATGGCCTTACCAGTTAAGCACTCTATAAGGTACCATACGTTATTTCTGATATTGACAACGAAGGCATATGGGTGAAACATCACTTGTCCAGTGCGCAATGCTACCAGTAACAGTTTGTTCAAGAAGCCCTAACGGTAGCCCGGGTCATGGGCTAAAGCCATTGGTAAAGGCACAACATGTGTAAATTACATTCTTGTATAAGCTCAACCAAAATGTGTGGGCATCGAGGTCCACTTCACGGAAAAGTACAGAATCACGAAGAACTAGAAATAGACGAAGGCAGACACACATGTTGCAACACTTCTGTTCTTGACGTCTGCCTACAGGTTCCTGAAACGACCAAACTGTCCCCGCCCCGAACTTTTAAGCCAGAACCAGCAGACTCGTGCGTGGTTTTTAATCTGAGGACATTTATAATGCGACCTTTCCGAAATATAATACGAGGACCATAGGATGAGGTGTGGCAGGTGTGACTGCACCAACTGTAACGAAAATGAGTATAATGTTAACGCCTTTCGTTTTAATGACGCCCATTTCCGCAGATTTACAAACCGACGTTTCTCGACATTTTCCAGCCGAAGCCATGCGCAACGCCCGAATTTTTCAAGCACTGTCTGGGATTTATTCTTTCGAGTCAAGTGGAGTCGAATCGTGGCGGACCGAGTCAAGTGCACGAGAGGCTGTTCCAGCGCAGATCTACGCCTTCAGCAGACTTGAACCGACAAAGCGTCACCGGCGAGAGACAGTGATAGGGCCGTGTGCCGCCGCCTCCCTCCCACCCGCGGTGCTCGGCGCCCGCCCGCAGTCGCTCGGGTTGACCGAGTATCACTCAGGCCGGCCGGCGGCTGATGCTGCCAGCCGAGGCGTCCGGCATTGATCACACCGCCGCCGCCGCCGCCGCCGCCGCACGGTCAGTGAGCGCCTCCGAAGCGGCGCTGCCAGCTGGACATGGTGCCGGCACATTAGGAGATGGGGCTTCCGACCGCGGCGCGCGGAGACCGCCGGACATCGCTCTGCCGGCGGAGATCGATGACGCGCCCGCCACAGCCCCAGCAACTTTCGGCACATCTGGGGCATCACCGAGATGTCCCGAACCGTTCGCAGCGTACGACGCGCGGGCATCAGGCCCAGTCGGTACGTGACGTTGATTCATGAATGCTCTGCGATCGGCAGTGACAAATATGGTTACGTTCGCTCAGTGCGCTCGAATGTAATTGCGTCGTTACATGGATTGAGCCTAGCTAACAGTCAAGTTAAGTTTCGTTTGAGCAGGGCGGGAAGTTGTCATTCTAAAAGCTGTCATTCCGTCACCAAAGCTGTCATTTTCCTCAGGCTACTTTCTCGGATGGCATGGGCCTGGCGATATGGCCCAAAGTGCTGCTTACTTTAGAGTATACCTAAAGGCATTACCAAGCTCGAAAGTACAGCTGAACCCGCGAAAGCACAGCAGTTTGAAATTTTTGTTGAGTGCAAATGGCAAACGCTTGCAAATAGACAGCTCAATACAAATAAAAAGTCCAGATTTTTATGAAAATATAATGTGATTTTATGCATTTGTATGTATTTATCAAACGACTATTTCAAGACCTCAATCCTTTTTAGGACACGAACACGAACTCTACACGAACAACCGTCGGAGCGCCGGCCAGCCCAGATGAGCATCAACACGAAAAGCATGCGGCGCGTGTGGCGTTGTTAGATGTGCTTTTACATGTGCCATTTAAGTTTCGGGTCAGTTCACGCCCAATTTCAACATTCGCCATCGTCGACCACAGCATGAGGTGTCGCGATAGCCTCTGAGCGGCTCCATTGCTATACCGGAGTTCCGGAAACGTCGACCGGGACCCGTCCGGCAGGGGTCCCCCCGTCACCCGACTGCTGGCTGATTGTCACGCCGCCATCGTCGAGAGGGTCCCTTCCTGCATGCGGTTTCTACAGTGCAACTGCAGCTTACACCCTTTATTGCGGCTGCTTTGACAATTTGTGCAGCCCGATGCCAGTTTGGGATTTCCTGCCAGATTGAGCACTCTAGGCAGCTTTACCAACTTAGGAGGAGCTTCGTAACATTTATGACGGAGTGGAGACCAGATCTTCCGCTGACATACAGCTGGTGTCATCTTTTTGCGATTTCCTTCGTCGAGCCTTGAACTCCTTGGATAACACTTAAAGAAACCGATACCGATCTTAGGCGGGCCACATTCGGCCAAACGTGTGCAAAGTTCCACTCAGTGCTTATTGGCATGCCGAGTTCTGAAAAATCGTTTTTCATTCAAACAAGTCCTCCGAATCGCCCGTACCATCCAACCTGATGTAATGAGTGATTTGATTTAATGACGGGACTTTAATTTGACGATGACTTTACTTGGGAATACAGTTGTGTAGTGGTAGATAACAATGCGATCATGTGTGCCGTAATACAGCGGTGAAAATAAGTCGTTTCACCGACGAACTTTGGAACAGCCTAAGTTGTCACCTAGAGCTAAGTCTATCAGAAACGCAATAAACCTATGAAAGCGATAAACCACATAAAGCAAAAACAAATGAAATGCGGTGAATCATAAACATAATAAACATTTTCGTTCTGTAACGTTCATTTGCGCCAAAGCACCACTTGCTGGATATGCCAAAAGCCCCGGTGGTTAAGGATACATGAATCTGAATAGTCTGAATACATGAGTGGTCGGCGTGGCTGGCTTAAGGCTGGTTAACACATCGGTTCGGTTCAAACCTAAGGTGTGGCATGTACGGGGAGAGCAAGAATATGTATGGTCAGCGTCCGCATCACAACCGTAAATGGAAAATAAGAAACCCCATGCAACATCTCACGGCATCCTGGGGTAATGCCCGTGTTGGAAAAAGAACTCTTGCAGGCTTTAATCCACCCAAAATAACACCCTCCATCGCTTTGCTGTCGGTTGTACCCTCTTTTCAATATTATTTATTGTGTTACCCTAAATTGAGAATTGCTATGGCCTATATGTCCATACGTACTGCACGATCATGGTCTATTACTATAGCTATGGTGTCTGAAATAAGATATCATAGCTTTCCATAGTGCCCAAAATTAAGATTCCTAGCATTTACAACCCGCCGCTGGGAAACTCTTGCTTTTTAATCCAGAAAATTCAAACAGGAATCCAACACTGAATAGTTTTTTCTTGGCATGAGTTACATGGATGACGGGTCAATGTCATGTTTTTTTCACCCCTCCCGTTATATAAAAAGGACATTAGCTCCCTAGATTACGACTTAAGCGTGAAACAGGGTACAAGCATGTCAAACATCGGACCGGTGTCAGAGGTAAAAAATGACATACGCCAGACCGGTGTCAGAAGGGCCATCAGACCTTCTTATGCAGCCAAGGTTAACCTAGATATCTGCTCTAAGCAAAAGGTAAAGGTGTTCATTACAGGTCGGTGACCTCCTTTGGCCTTCTAAGGGCCACGCTGATCAAAAACCTACGAATTTTCAAGTCAAATAAACCTCAAGTATCACGCTGCACAGCATGTTCCTTAAAAGACAAAAAGTTGATCGGGATCCTTTTAGGTCGGTGATCCCCTCTCACCTTCATTAAGTATCAATATGTCTGTTGATAACCCCGTGATAGCAAATCAAACATAAGAATAAAAGCTACACCATAAAACAAATTCTACAGAAAATAAAGCTGCTTAGTTTTGGCTTCGTTTTGATATCCATATTTTCCCCAAAGTCGATGTACTTAATTGTTATCCATATCATCTTGTATAATTGTTTCAAAAAGCTATGTCAAAGATGTGTGGCTGCGTTTAACACTCCGTGGTCGTATCAGAACGAACAAGTCCCTAGGAATTACCTTCACTGGTAGCCATGACCTGACTATGACCTACCATAGGTCAATGACCTTCCGAAGTATATGTAATTTTATGCCAGAAGGCAGGCTATTCAATTGCCCACAGCTATACGAAATTTCAGTGGCTACCTCGCGCCGTTGGCAAGTTATTCTGGAAAAACATCGAGGGAGCAAGTCAAATTGACCCCCAACCCGAGCGCGTGTTAAAACGGGATGTCGTTGGCTTCTTCTTATATCATCGAACACCCCAGTCCGTTTCACACCACTAGCTCAGTTGGTTGCTAAACGTACGTTACTCTTTTGGGGGTGTTACGTTTAACACAGCGTAGTCAGTCCAGAGCGCGATTTCGTCTGGTGTAACTAGTGTGTTGCGAGGCGGAGGAAGTTTGAAAAATAGCAAACAATTCGAAATATGATTTATGGATGGCCTCTTCAAATCAAAACTTCCGAGACCGATTTGCAGAACAGCATATCTATCATGATAGATATATCACATCATCATATGATCATATATATATATATATATATATATATATATATATATATATATATGCCATCATATAATCATAATATCATAATCTTCATAGGTCTAACCATCTTGAAACGAGAATTGTTCTCATTTTCCGCTTGTCAAAAGATGTTCTAAAGTAGGCTTATGGTAATCAGGGTGTAGGTCACCGCGTCATCATGAAAACAAACCGTGATGGTGCGCTACGCTCCTGTTCCTCCACGTACGACCTCCAACACCTGCTCCTAATTTGTCCATTTGCCAACCAGTA